AAAAAACCGATCCAAATTAAAACTCGTTAATTAGGTTTTATATTTGCTTTCTCTCTCCTTTGCAATGGGTTGGATCGTGTTTATTACAAACAAGTCAAACTAATGGATAACCCATAAGCTTCCAGTAGAACCACTTCACTTTCCCCCATCTAACAAAACCAAAATATAATGATAATTCCTCTCATTTGCTGTGTTTTTTGAGAAAAGTTCGTCTGGAGAAATGGCTAGTTTTTATCATTATCGTCATTTACTTTATCCACTTTTATTATTTTGGTTATTCGTTTCATTTTTATTTTTATTCGTTTTTATTTTAGTACTAACTATTAAAAAGAAATAAAATTAAAAAAAATCATAAAATATAAAAATACAAAATTAAAGGTTAGGTTTAATCAGGGGCATAATTGCATTATATCAATTTGAAATTAGAAGCTAATAAGGACCAAATTGAACAAAAAAATAGCATGAATTATGGGCATAATTGAAAGGAATTAGAGGATGCGATTGAAAAAAATTAAAAATTGAGAGATTGGATCGGCAAATTATCAAAAAAACCAAAATTCGAGAAAGTGAATGTTAGTCCACAATTCACGCTCCAAAATTCGAAAGAATTAGAACATTAGGAAATAACGGAATAGAAAGAGAAAGATTCGATCGAACGATTGGTAGAAAGGGAGGAAATGAAAATTGGTTATGATTAGTAGAAATTGGATATAAATAGAGTGTTTAGAGGTTATAGAGGGGAGAGAATCGAACGAGAAAAGTGGAAACAAGAGTAGAGAGTGAAAGAGGAGAGAAATCTAGGCATTCATTTATGGGTTTTTGGGTAGATCTTGAATTTTTAGGTTTTCAACTTGAATTTTTGGGTTTTGGGGATAAACACCTAGGTTCTCTTTTTCAGTTTTGCATTTCTAGGGTCATTCAAGCTTTATGATTTCAAAAAAACACCTAAAATCATCATACAATCATCCGTGAGTCCTTATTCTTCATAAGAACAAACTCCAAATCATTTGATTGCGACCAAATCAACCCATTAGTCATCCTCATCATTTGTGAGCATTCAAAGCTCCCGGGTTCATCTAAGTGTTATGAGTTCACAAAAAAAAAAAAATCAAAAATCAAAAATCATCTTCCTCAATCGTTTGTTCGTTCCCCAATCACAACAATAACACATTTATATATCCGTGATCACATAGTCCTACACAAACTCGGTACTCCAATAGTTTTTCATCACTTGCAAGCGAAGAAAACGTAAAACAATCCTACTCTACCTTTCAATCTCATTCCCATCCACCAAGCTTTCTTCGGGTAATCCTAAATACTCTTTGTCAATGTTCAATCAATTCTAATCCATGTTTGTTCGAGCAAAGAAAAATGATAGCGACATGGTCACTATCATCGATTGAATCCAAGGATTCGAACTCATCCAACTAACTTAGAAAAGTGAATTGGGAAGGGAATAAGTAAGTTTTAGAAACCATTGGTGATTCATTGGAGTATGAAATCTCCAATCAATAGATTAATCCCTTAAGGCGGTAGTGAATTGGATAGTCGGTATAGAAAAAAGAAAGAGAGAAAATAAAGAAAATAAGAGAATGAAAAAATAATGAATGAAAAAAAAAAGAAAATAAGAGAGGGCTAGGTTTAGGCCTGGCTCGAAAAAGAAAAAATGGGAAAATTGTAAAATAAGTTAAGCTAGGAGTAACCCTATGAGAAAAGGAAAAAAAAAAAAAAGAAGAAGAAGAAAAAGAAGAGGGAACTGCTTCCATCAATGCGAGGTGGCCCAATGGGCACAATCCCCCTATTTTTAGCCTTTTGTCACAATGAATCATGCCTAAGTATATTTTTTTTATAATATGCTTTTACTTTCATGCTTAGTTTAAATTTAATTTCTTTGAATTGTTCATTTATTTATTTGTTTATTTAATTGAAATTTTTAAGTATTTAGGTTTTATGTTAAGAAATATAATAGATAATTAATCAACAAATGAATTATTGAGCCTCCTAATTTTTAAGGACTAATGACGATTCCTCATCAACAACAAATATACAAAAAAAAACAAAAAATAAAAAAACAACAACATCAAAACAACAAAAATAATAAAAGAAAAGAGATAAAAGAAAAAAAAAGAAAAATAATAGGCTATGGAAAATCATAAAAAAAAAACATAGAGAAAATAAAAAATAAGGAAAATGCAAAAAATATATATATACGGAGGAAGAAAATCCTAGAAAAAAAAAAGGAAATATAGAAAAAATAGAAGGTTTTAGAAAAAAATTAACAAAATCTTCTATCTAATAGGAACCGATGTTAGCCAAATAAATCACCTTGGTAATTAGTTGTTGTTCAACATACTTGGTTATGTCGAGACTTAAAGTGAATTCGATGTTGAACTAATGTGTCTTCTAATGATGAGGTTCGACGATTGGTTCAATACGATATCACGAATAATAATAAAAAGAATGAATTTCGTTTTGAAAATAAAAACTTGAGGTTCAAATTGAAAATAATTTGGCACAAACAAAAACACCTTAGGAGATAAATTTTTGAATTGAAATAGACATGTTACCTTTCCTAAGAAAAGACGTTTTTGAATGATTGATATTTTTTCAAAGCGTAACCAGCCTTTATCTTAAAATATCTACATCAATACTCATTTTAGGTTCTTAGTTTTTTCAACACTAGGTGATTACTTCGAAATCAATAATAACTTACATCCTCAAAAATCATCAAACCATGAATAAAACATTAAATAAATAAATAAAATTTGGGAGTCTCATAAAAAATCGAGTAGCGACAATCACCAATGTCATTTGCTGCTAGTGCTACACTCTCTCCCAAGCCTTCGTTATCCCCTAGCTCGTCTTCATCATCATTTACAGTTGAATTCCTAGTGAATTCATGTGGGCTTAAATTGTAACCTGTTGTGTCACTTTCCAAGAAATATCAACTCGACGAGAAGAACATCTAAAAGGCAAAATCTCTGGTCTAATTCAACAATGCCCACATCTCTAACTTGATTGAAAAGTGGCCTGGTGTGCTCCATTGTAGGCTAGAAAACAACCTTATACTCAAATCTGAAATTTTTCAGACAATTCAATGATCTCTGTTAAGGATATATTTAGAGATTCAAGGATTTCTGTTGTAAATTTGGGTTCGGAGGCTTTTTTATCATTTAATTTTTGGAACTATCATGTGTTGATTTCACGTGGCCAAGAGGTCTCTTTCAGGATACATGTCAATATTTTATTAGATCACAAGACTTATGCATGCGAAATATCTCGTCTGAAATTTGTTAGCAAGACAGAAAGACTTGATTGCTAAAAACAACAAGTTTAAGACTTAATTCAGAAAAATTGTAAGTCTGAGCATTTTTTCTTATTAACCGATTAGCCATTTTATTTCCATCTCACTTTCATTTTTGAATAAGTTTCTCTTTTTGTTAACGAGAAATTTTAAAATATTTATAGAGTAATTATTGTATATACATAATAGTTACTCTATAAGCTCGCTTTTGAGGAATGAGATAAAAAAAAAATTACATCTAAATTTATCAAAAGTGATAGAAGATTTCCATTTAGGCTTATTTTTTTTCTCTTATTTTTCCTTTCTATTTGTGTGTATTTCTCTCTCATAGAACAATTATTGCATATGTATATTAGTTACTTTTTGAATATTTTAAAATTTCTACTTATTGTTTTATTAACAACAACATCTGTTAGTGCAAAACCTAAATTATGGATTTTTTTATATAAACTTTTGATATTAATTGACACGTCAATATGATAAAGTATAAATTTTGTGAATTTTATATAATAGTGTTTTTCATAAAAAATTATCATTTATGGTTGTATGAAAAAATTATTTGTATATTATTCATTTTAGAAAAATATTTTTCTCATTTTTCATTTTTAATTCAAGAGAAAAAAATGTTATGCAAGATTATATCAATTAATTATTGTCTTTTCTTTTTAACATTTATTTTGTGAAAACATAAAAAATTATTTATTTTTTTTGGATTTTTTTTTAGTTCGACAATAAAGGTATTTTAAAATTAATTTATATATTAATTGAGACTAAGCCTTTATCAAGTAATTTTAAAAATATATTTTCTATATTTGCCTGGTGTACTTAAAAAAATGTTTAGTAAACTTTTCTAAATATTGGTCCAAAATTTGAATTTAAAAAGTTAAAAAGGTAAAATTTTTTGGATTAGGATGACTAAATATTATAAAAAACAATATGAATATAGTTTTTTCAAACAAAATATTTTTCAAATGAAAAGTATTTTGCATGAAGTGAATTGAAATCTGAAAATGCTGGAAAGTTATTCTAAAAACATGAGGATTAACTGAAGAGGATTGGTTTTTATGCGTCCTATCCAACAATGAATGATTAATCTGAGTCTTTGACTTGAAATATGCTGAGACTCAGAAAAAAAAATCGAGGATTAAAAAAATTACTCCAGAAACAAAAACAAACTGCACTCCTGGCGTGCCTAACATGCTGATTACTAATCAATGATCACTAAACTCGCTGATTATTAAAAACGAAGCTCCACACCCAATGGCCAAGAGCATTTCTTTATTAATTCTTTGACCATAACCTGATCACATTTGACCGTTAGTAACGGCGATAATAAAAATCTCCATGACAATCAAAATCGCTTTATTTTCCGTCACGAGAAAAAGATATTGTATGTCCTTGTCGTTTTGTCTCAGCGCCTTCTATTCCATCAAAAGAACACTACTCTCTAGAGAAAGAAAAACACAAGTCCCAGGATTTTAGTAAAAACAAAACGAACAGACACACTGGCTCCCTTTTACAGTTTTCTTGTCTCGCGGCAAATGATTTAGTTCTATCAGTTTATCGTTGCCGTTTCTCTCTAACAAACATCCCTCTCTCTAGTCTCTTTGCTTGTTTTGGTTTAGCTCTTGCATCGGTTAGTCTTGTCTTTGGTTTTTGTTTTCCTTTTTTCCCAGTTCAGTGGCAAAACTGTAAAATGGAGAGAAAGCAGGGTTTCTTTTCAGTAGTTAGAGGACTATCACCGGGGAGGTCACGAGCGACGAGTCCGGCGAGGAGTGCATCACCAATGTCTAGTTTGTTACGGAGGAGAAAAGGACATGGACAGCACGTGGCGAAGCCAGAGCCGTTGATTATTCCGAGATCGGGGAGCTTGAGGCCAGCAGAGGCTTTATCACCCTTGAAAGAGGGGCCGGATCAAGATGACGGTGGAGATTCACGGATGGAAGGGAGGTGGGGACAATGGATGAAAGGACAGCTGTCAAGAGGAGGACCTTCTTCAGTTGTGTCTTCTTCATCAAATGCGTGTAATAGTAGCAATAAACGGTCCGATCTGAGGTTATTGCTTGGTGTCTTGGGGGCGCCGCTTGCTCCGGTGCACGTTAGCCCTGCGGAGCCTTTACCTCACCTTAGTATAAAAGATACTCCCATTGTGAGTCCCTTCTCTCTTTCTCTCTAGCAATTATTTATTAGTGTTCATTTTGATACCGAATTTTTGTGACACTGATAGTTTAAAGATAACATAGAAGAATGTCTTTTCTGGATTTCTGCTAAAAAATTAGTGTTTTTTATCTTGTTTTTAGCATTAATTTATTTTACAGTAATGTCACTGCTTCAGTTGAGTAGAGCTAAGTACTGTGCTTTGTGCAAAAGTTGATTCCTTGATGAAATGTTGAAATCAAAGTGGTTTTCTTTGTTTTCATTTCAAGCTTGGTTAGGAGAAACTTTTTATAAAAAAATAGAAAAAAGAAAAAGAATGTTTGTTGATAGAGGCACTCACTCACACTTTGCTTTGTAATGTACGGCATCTTTTCTGTTGGGGTTTGTGTTTCTATCAATATACGCAATACGACATGATTACTCTACAATTCGTTGCTTGTGCTTGTACTTAAAACAAAAGGAAAAATGTGTTTGGAATTTTCTTTTTTCCCTTTTCCTTAAAAAATAAAAGGTGATGTTAGACTAGTTGACTCTTTGCTGTTGTTAGAGTAATCGATAATGTTTATGCAGCATCCTATGGGTATGTCCTTTTATTTTAACCATGTACATGCTAAGATGGCTTGACGGTGGTTGTTGCAGGAAACTTCATCTGCTCAGTACATATTACAGCAGTATGCAGCCGCATCGGGAGGGCAAAGGCTTCAGAATTCCATTCACAATGCTTACGCTATGGGAAAGGTGAGGATGATAGCTTCTGAGTTTGAGACGGCTAACAAGGTCACTAGGAATAGGAATTCTTCCAAAGCTGCAGAGTCTGGTGGGTTTGTCTTGTGGCAAATGAATCCAGACATGTGGTATGTTGAGCTTGCGCTTGGTGGAAGCAAGGTTCATGCTGGCTGCAATGGGAAGCTTGTGTGGAGGCACACACCTTGGCTTGGTGCACATGCTGCTAAAGGTCCAGTCAGACCATTGCGCCGTGCACTTCAGGTGAGCTGCTTCTCATCTTTCACTTATTTTACTATCCAACTCGTGCAATTTTTTGATCTAATGATTGTTTAAATTCTCATGTTCAATCTCAGGGCCTTGATCCGAGAACAACTGCCAGCATGTTTACTAATGCAAGATGCATTGGGGAGAAGAAGATTAATGGTGATGATTGCTTTATCCTCAAGATATGTGCAGACCCTGCAACTCTTAAGGCTAGGAGTGAAGGGCCAGCAGAGATCATAAGGCATGTTTTGTTTGGCTACTTCAGCCAGAAAACAGGACTCCTTGTTCACTTAGAAGACTCTCATTTGACCCGCATCCAAAACAATGGAGGTGATGCTGTTTACTGGGAGACCACAATCAATTCTTTCCTTGATGATTACAAGCCAGTGGATGGGATTATGATTGCTCATTCCGGGCGTTCGGTAGTAACACTTTTCAGGTTTGGAGATACAGCAATGAGCCACACCAGGACCCGAATGGAAGAAGCATGGGCAATTGAAGAAGTGGCATTCAATGTACCTGGCCTGTCCATGGACTGTTTTATTCCTCCTGCTGAATTAAGATTTGCGTCTATCAGTGAAACCTGCGAGCTGCCTCACAGTCAGAGGGTAAAACCTGCCGTGACCGCTTCAGCCTATCGTGCCAAAGTTGCTGCATTAGAGACATCTCATGAAAATGTTAACAATATGATGTGGAAAGCAGATGCTTAGGCGTAGGGTGCGGGAAAGGGCATGTGACATCTTATTATCTCACCGCTAGAATAGGTGTCTAGTTTTTCTCTTGCCGGCCAATTAGAAGGTGAATGGTAAAGGTAGAAACTTATTAGTGGTTTTGTGAAGTTTTGGCATTGAATTGATGTCTCTTTGAAATTGTAAATAGAGCATAGTCATTTACATATTTTCTCAGGCTCTGGCTGAAAACTTGTTCTCAAGGAAGAATTCCAGTATGGAGCCAGAGCTTGAGTTTATGACTTATGGTGGGTGACAGAGCTAACAAAGGTTGGTTTCCAATTTGCCCTCATTGAATAGTGATATCTGAGGTTCCGTTTCCTCTGTTGTCTTCCAAAAAGATCTCATCGATGATGCTATTCAATTGCGGTGTGTTATTTGCCTTTTGCCTTTGTAAGATCACGCCGAGAAGGAAATAATTAATCAACGGTTAAACATGGTTGTGATAAAATAAATTGAAAAGTAGAAAAAGTAAAAGAAAAGGGGTGCACTTATTACAAATTGAAAAGGAGAAAAAGTAAAAGAAAAGGAGTGCACTTTCTCAATTTATGCTCGACTTCTCTGCGCGTTACTTTAGCTGACGCTGTTGCAGAAATGCAAACGACTTGTCAAACATAGAGGCAAATCTAGCATTGGGCTTCTGTAATATTTGATCCTTTAGTGCCAACCCCATCCACACGCTGCATAAGTGGATGATGGTGCAACTGTTACTGGGCCATATGGGACCGGAGCAATACAGCCCATTTATGTAAGATTATTTCTGTATGGGCTGCCCACCGTGGACGATTACTTTACCGTGTTGTTGTGGAACACGCCTTCATGGTCGATAGCCACGATTCTGCTTTCGGACGATTTTGCTTTCGGCTTTTGCTTTATCGTATTTTAGGGTTCTACAAAACAGATAGCAGATTTTTTCAATTCCTTAATTATGCTGTCTAACTATCACCATTAATTACACTCCTTTACAGCAAGAAACCACTCCCTCTAACAACATAAAATAATAATGATGATAAGTTCGTAATAGACAAGTAACGGTGCAATTTTGCTTCTGTCTGTAGATTAATGTGATATGGAAGAAGTACCTTGGTCTTCTGGAGAACAAAGGGGAGAGAGAAAGAAGGATTGGGAATTTGAAGCGGAAAATGGAGTTGAAAACTAATTAGGTCTCTTTGAAGCTTGAGTAATCAGATTCGCCCTTAGCGTTTAAGCTAAGAAACCAAGTTAGGCATTATAGACCTGGCATCGGGGACAGAGTCACTGACTGAGAGAGGGAACTTACATATTTTGCTAGTGTTGTGAGAATGCAAAATCAAGGCGAGATTTTTGTTCTTTTTTTTAGTGGATTATTTGTCAATATGCATGGTTTACCAAGATTTCCCCTTTCTCCAAGAAAGCACTTCATCCATGAACAGCCTGAAAAGTTCGAGTAGTTGCTAAATAAACAGGGATTCCTCTTCAGTATATGCCATTATAATGAAATTGGTAGTTCTGCATTTTTATTTTAGGAGCTGCACAACAGAAACTTATTTTATACATGCCCTAATCTGTCATTGAGAGTATCAATATTAGCTTTATGGATGCCGTGATTCAGCATAAGGACTTAAGGGGCTAAATATGGTGCCCGATGGAGGTTCTCACCACCTTGTGCCATGTCCAGAACGCTACATGTTACACGGTTCTTTCTAGCATCTTAGTTGGAAGGATCAGTTACGTTTGAATATTGATCACGAATTTACATTGAACCATCATTCATTGCTTGCAAAGAAATATTTCTAGCATTGGTACTACAACTATTTGTAGGCATTAAACATGTTTGCTCTTTCCCTGAGACAAAATCATGGGGCCTAGGCCTATTATAAGTGTAGCATTCAGCGTTCTCAAGAATCTTCCTTCCTTGAGATAATCTGAACATTTGACTCAAGAAATTGTTACAAAGAAAACATTCAAACTTTTATTCAAAAAGTTACAGAAGCAAATCTATGTTTAGCATTTTTACAGAGTTTAATAGGCTTCTTCATCATGAGCATTGAAATTAGCGTAGTTATTTCTCACGCCGATTGTACTAAATTACAATAAAATAACAAAAGAAAATGTGCATCCTCGTACAGCCATATGTGCAGTAAGAAACTATACAAAATCTTCATGACAAAAAAAGCTATATCAGCAGTACACGTACCACTCACATAAACAAATTTTTAATGCTTATCACCATTGCTTTAGGTAGATTAAAATCTGTAAGCCTGCTTTTTATATGCTTTAGGACGTCATATAGTTTGTTTATTTGCAGCCGCTTGATCTTGAGACCTTAAATAATAGTACTTGCTCTGTTTTTGATCTATTTCCAAGCTTCTGTTCCAGCTTTGCGAGTTATGGAGTTAGTATTTATTTGAAGCTATAAGTTGAAGAATGTGAAGGGACCACATAATGCTTCTGTTTTGCAGGGTCAATGTCCCATGTTCACCCTGTGGTCCCTCACTCTTTTTGCAGCCCGTTTGAGAGCATGTTACGTTAACCATTATCATAACTTGTAAGTGGAAGAAATCAGGGGAAATTGCATGCTAAAGGTTAAGATTTTAACTCTGTACATCTGGCATCCATCACTTCAGTCTTGCATAGTTTTCAGCTGGCAAATCATTGAGAATGAGCTATTTGTGGGTAAAACAGAGAATGTTTTCCTAATTGGAAGAAACTAAATACTCACCAAAGTTTTCCTAATGTTGTGACTATCAACATTAAGGTGCTAAGCTTCTCTTCTACCGGTGATATGTTTTACACTTTTGCATGCAGTTATGGTTAAAACTTAAACTAGCTTCTAACGAGAGTGAGAGTAGCAACTGAGAAGTTGATGAAGGAACTCAAGCGAAAATGTAGATTCTGGATAACACGGTGAAGAACCTGTATAGAAAATCAGGAAACTTTGCTCTAATGAATTGGAGTACTTCTATTGTTTTTTAACATCTAGGAAATTGCAAAGATTTATGTTCTTGCTTATATATGCGTGTAGAAATAAGAGGATTTAAAGAGTGAAAAAAGTGAGATTCGAAAGCAAGGTAGAGCTGTTATATGAGAGGTCTAAAATGCTAAGGAGTGATAGGACCACTTGCTTTATGAACCGGGAGCACTTAGGGTGCATGGAAGAGAAAATAATGTATAATTTATGTATTGCTCGAGGTCCATGAACTGCTCATGAAGATGAAGGTTATCGGTATTTAGAATAGCGAGTTCTATCAAATATTTAATGTGAAGAATGCCAGTTACATGAAATTTCTCCCTTTTTGTTTTTTGGCTTTTGTGGTGAAGAAGAGTAGACATGAGAGATACCCCCCCTCCTTTAGGACTGAAGAGGACCGCTTGCTTTATGACGTGGGAAGCACTTGGAGAGCATAGAAGAGAAAACAAAGTTTAATTTGCTGATTGTTTTAGGTTAACGGCTGAGGAATATAAAGGTATTGAGTATTCAGAATAGCGAGTTCTATCGATCTTTAATGATGAAGAATGACAGTTACTATTATTTTTGGGTTTTGTGGAGTGAAGAAATGTAGATGCTCCCCCTCCACTGAGCTCCAAATATTAATTTTTTTCTGTCATCCTATCCTTTTACAGCATGGTGATCATAGTATCAGTTTCCTCCTTTTATATGATACGTGAATTGTGAAACGCCTTTACACCCTCCTGAAGGATGTATTTGAATAAAATCTTGTAACTTTTGGATCTTTCATTCTCAAGCTCGTGAACAGATGCAGCGAAGTACAATCTCTGTCAGGCTTGTTATAATATATTTAGATAATAGTGAAACCATGGAGTCTTAACCTTTTTCGAGAAAAAGCAAACATTCAATTGTGGAAAATGCTTCTAAACAATCTGCACTTACGGATTATTAAATATTTTCATGAACAGCTAGGTAGGTGTCACTCCACCAACTGGCCCCCACTTTTCTCATTTCCTTTGGTTAAATTTTATCTGTGACAAACCCTAAGCTAACCCTACCAAATCAAAACCCTAAACCCAATCTATCATTTGTCACTGAACTATGGATTCCCTAAAGAAAAAGGAGAAGATAATCCATACCATAACCAATACCAGAAGCAACGAAAGCATTATTGATTTTGGCACTGAACAAAGCTGTATCAATCCTAGTTGTTTCTTTTGCACGATGAAAGAGCCAAACTCAATGATCAGGAGATCAGGACTAGCAAGTTGTTTCAAGGAAATGCCTTTCAGATACAACCAAGCACTTGTTCTGATTCTTAGTGGTCTGTGGAATATTGCTATGACTCAACCAGATGATCCAGAGTTCCCTTCCCTCGGTGTTTTCAACTGCATGGCAAGTTTGATCCAGAAAAGTATTGTTAATAGAAGTTGGCTTCTTAAGGATGAAAACATTTACATCCCTTATTATGCAGCTCATATTATTGGCACTTACACCATGAACAGGGTTGAGTTTGCAGAGAGAGCTGTTCAATCAGGTGTCATACCTCCATTAATGGATCTTTTAAGAGGAAAGATCAGTTGGGTTGAGCAAAGAGTTGCCGTTCGAGCGCTTGGTCACCTTGCAAGCTACGAGAAAACCTTTGATGCAGTAGCAGTATATGAAGAAGATGTAGTGAAATTGGCTATGCAGTTAGCTTCCACTTGCCTTGAAGTGGTGTACACAAATTTTGTTGGGGTACGGGATGTAAAGAAGAGGATGAAGTATCATACTGACTTGCTTACAAGAGGTGTTGGAGGGTTAGACATGGAGAGCAGAAAAGCAGAGGAGTGGGCGAGCCAACTTCAATGCTGGTCTCTCTATCTCTTAAATTGTTTTGCTTGCAAAGAAAGGTCTTTAAATCTCATTTGTCGGCAGGACTTTTTAATAGATTTGTGTGAAATGTGGGGTGGATTGGTGAATCACACATCACCTGCTGGGGTTGGACTTATTAGAATTCTATGTTACAGCAAATTTGGAAGAGAGAGTATTGCTGAATCTAAAGAAGTTGTAAAGAGTCTCTGTAATCTCTTGAGATCTTCAGATGATTGGCAATACATTGGTATTGATTGTATTCTATTACTTCTCAAAGACCAAGATACCAGGTTAAAGGTTATAGAAGTTGCCGCCTTGTTTCTTGTAGATTTGGTTGAACTCAGGAGCCTTGGCAATCGATCAAATGTTGGCCAAGCAATCACAAGAGCACTTCTTTTTTATTACAGACAAAGCAAGTTGAATTTAAAGAACATCGAAGTTCAAAAAGCTATGCAAGAAATATGGGATTTGAAGGTAGAGAGGAGAAAACGAGAGAAAATGATGCCTGAAGAAAAGGTTGAAGAGAGAAGGGTTTTGGTGGGTTTGATAAAAAAGCAGGGCAACCACACGTTTTGGTTAGGAAACATAGAAGAAGCATTGGTGAAGTATACTGAAGCATTAGATTTATGTCCATTGAGGTTAAGAAAAGCGAGAGTGGTACTTCATAGTGACCGGGCTCAGTGTCACTTGCTCCTTGGGGACCCAGATGCTGCCATCAGTGACTTGACCAGAGCTCTGTGCCTGTCCACCCCTGCAAATTCTCACGGCAAGAGCCTGTGGAGAAGATCGCAGGCCTTTGATATTAAAGGGTTAGCCAAATACAGCTTGATGGACTGTATAATGTTCCTGAATGGCTGCATCAAGACTGAAACTACCAAAGGTGTGAAAATTCCGTACCATGCAGCCCGTATGATCAGCAAACAGATGGAATCCACGTGGCTTTTTGCCAACGTCAGGTCAAAAGCATTAAGCAATCGATTAAGTAAAGTGAAAGAATTGGATGGTGACTATGAGAGCTGCAATTATGACAGAGAAAAATATGATGAAAAAATGAGAACTACGATAGAGAAAGAGGATAATTTTATCTCCAGTAAGTAGTATGAGCTTTTATCATACACGTAATGTATATTTTCTCCAACTATTCGAATTCAGATGTTTCACTTAATTTCTTTCTTTAACTTGGTGTGCCTCTTTTTTGAACTTTTTAGTATCATCATTGCAAGTTACAATTACTTTAGCTCGTAACTTTTCAGGGCTGTCCACCATAAGAGAGGAACCATTCATGGGAAACAAAAAGGGGAGGAGAAAGATGGAAAGGGCAACCAGGCGTAAGAAAGCTGTTGTGGCTCGATCAATGCAAGGTAGATGAGAGGATTATTGCATGCCGAAGCAGAATACTGTGATTTGTGCCTTCAGATTTTAATGTGGTGGTCTGGATATCTTTGATAAACCTTTTCGGCCAATTGTTTTCTGCCGGTATGTAGAATTGAAACTCCTGAAACAATATGCAGACCGTAATGTTTATTTTATTAAACAAGAGAACGGAATCTCATGCACGCAGATTATGATCAATTTCTGGAATATTTTCTGTTACCTTTTCCTTATATATTCAAGTAGGTGAACATGTGAGGACTAGTACCAGAAGTCAGTAGTCATATTAAAATTATGAGGGGAAAAAATAGATAAAAAATTATTAATAATAATACTACATAAATGACCAGGAGAAATGGGAAGATTAAAGGTGGCTGAAATATTCTTCCAAGATTAGCAGGAAAGAGTTCATGCGGCTCAGATTGTGGAAACTGCTTTTCTAATTAAGGAGAAATTTTGAAGTCGTTAAAAAGTAATTACTGTATATATATATAATAGTTAATCCATAATTTGTTTTAAAAAAAATAGCTATCGTAAATATGCAATAATTATTTCAAGGATTGGGATAGAGCCATTAAAACGGGTTGTAAGGTTGTATATATATATATATATATATATAACTCGAAAGCATATTAAATGCACTTATAAATGTTCCTATTAACACCATTCCATATCCAAATAAATGCATGATTATATGGTTCTAGTAAAACATGGTTGAAATTAATTTTCCTCCAATCACAAAAAGAATCACTAGGTCAAATCATGCCTCAATAAATTGTGAAATTTTTAGATGTATAAAATCTTTTAATCAAAAAAGGGGATTGAATTATTTGATTGCATTACGAGCAAAAAAATATTAATAAAAAAAAAGATCACAGGAGTTCATATATATGTGGGAATAATGCATTGTAAATTTCCTTTTGATACATTGCAAATTTGCAATTACTTTCTCTTTTCTAAAGATATGGCTGGTATCTTCGATTTTTTACACCGTTTAAAAAAAATTATTAATTTTTGTGCTATGTTAATATTTTTTGTTCATATTTTTTTAAAATTGTTAAAATTGCTTGTTATTAAATTTAATCATACATTATATGAAATCAATATTAATTTAAAGAGAAAATATATTTAAAATTAAGATGGTAAATCAAAAGAAAAAATTATTAAGTTAATTAACAATTAAATTTAAAATAATTATAAAAAAATAACATACTAATGAAAATATTTTATTCTCAAAATTTTAACATGTAGTAATGTTCTTATAAGAATGAATATTTTTCATCGCGAAAGCTACCTATCCTTTTTTCTTTTCTTTTCCTTTTTTTCGTTTTTTTTTCCTCTCACTTCTTTTTTGATAAGCCGAGATCAATTAAGATTAACTAAAATAGGGATTTTTTTTCCTTCTTTTTTGATAAGACGATATCAATTAAGATTGACTAAAATAGGGCACCAAATCATGGTAGAAAAGCCAAGAAAAGAGAAACAAAAGAACACAAGAGACCTTATGTCTCTTACGGACAAAATTAATTAACCAAATCTGTACTTTTAGCTTTTTCTCATTTTCTTCTTTAACCAAATACCCTTTGATTTCTTCCAGTTCAACCACAGGCTTAAACATTAATTTTCTCTCACGGCCTAGTTGCACCTTTTAATCTTTCTCAAACATGGGCCGTCGGATACAAGTACTGCATGAGGGGCTTAAGAACTAGAGGCCTCTCGTTGAGCTGTGTAATCTTGCAGGGTGGATCCTTGAAATTGGGCCTGTAGCCGATTCTACCCTAACCTTTTAGACAAGATAGATTTGTTTGGAGGAAAACATTGTTCTAGTCTCAAATTTATATATTCATTATTAGTTACAGAGTTGCTTATAAATCAGATTTTTATTCGAATTATATTCAATTTGGTATAATTAAATACATCTAATATACAATTTTTATAATATTATTCTGATTATAGATGGATTAGATATAGATCCACTTTGATTCCGTCATATAATAATATGATACAAAATTAATATTAATATTTAAAAATTTAAGTACAAATAATAAGGAAAAGTGTGGCACTACGTTTAGATTTAAGTTTATTTACTCTAGGTGCTAACATTCTATACTTTTATTTATTTATTTATTTTCTTTTTCTCTACATCGATGGCTATCCTTTCAAACAATGCATTGTAAGTTTTTTAAATTATTTTTCAAGCCTTAAATTAATTTTATAAAAACAATATCCAATATGCGTATGAAAAAATAAATTAATTAACGAGTTGTTGCTAGTATTATACTGGTGTTTCTACTTTATAAAATCTGGTTAAATCTGAATTTTTATTCATTTTAAGCTTGTTTTTTTTATAAAAAAAAAATATAGGATTTTCTTTCATATCAACCAAGTTGTGCCTATAGTAGATATCTTTATAATTTTTCTTCAATTTTTTCATACTTTTTCCTTAATTTAAATTAATTTTGATCTTTATTATTATTTTTTATCAAGATTATTTGATTTTATTTTTTTAAATAGCGAGACATTTGCTTTAATTAATATAGTAAACATTATGACATGTGCAATAGTTGAGCAATAGCTGAAACTCATGCATTAAAGCATGAGTTTGAATGTAATCAATATTTTATTTATTTGTTTTGAAAAAAATGAATGATGAGCTCGACAGATATCTGAATCCAATAGGATTAGAATCCCGGTTGCCAATTGCAAAACTCAAATTCAAAATTTTAAAATCTGATCCTTTTTTAAAAAAAATAAAATAAAATAGATTTAGTTTTATTTTGATCTGATTCAAATCTAACCAGTTGATAGGCTTACTCAATTACATTCTAAATCTAAAATTTTTGTTAATTAAGTTCCAAATGCTTCCTATATTTTTCGACCATGTCCCTTTGTCAATTTCTTTTAATAGTTTATGTATAATGTGTATATTTTGTATACTAAAATGATGTTGATTTATTGAAATTTTGATTGAATAAGCTAATGAACATTGATGTTTCAGATCTAATGTACATATTCATGTATTAAAGTGACATTAATTTGAACAATATTAATGTCGATGACCGTTAACCAACAAAAAAATGATTGAAAGTTTTTAAAAATATTTAGGATCTAATCGATAAAAAGATATCGATTTGGGACTTTTGAGAATAAATATATAGATGTGGAATTAAATTTGTTAGGGAGTAATATAATTTTTTTTAAGATTTTACTCAACAGTTCAAATTTTTTTAGTTGAAATGACTTTTTAACATGATATTAGAGTTTTAATAAATAAATTATTATTAGTTTATAAAACTTTTTATAGGGTTTTAATTAATAATTTAATTTTTTAGATGAAAATAATTTTTAACATAATATTAGAGTATTGATAATCAAACGATTATGAATTTGAAAATCTCATTATTTTTAAATAATGATGTGTTTATGATAAATTATCAGGAATTCAAATCTTATTATCTCTAAATAATAATACAATAATGTAATTTTGAAGTTTTTTAAAAATTTGCATGATAAAATATGTTAAAAAAATAATATAAAATTATTGTTAAATCTATAGCCAAGAATTTAAGTTTTTGAACTGAGAAGCATTTGCGAAATAAGATTTTCTTGTTTATAATTACGCACAAACTTGCAAGTTCCAACACCAGACAGATTTGAGTTAGGTAGGCTAGCCCCTACGTCAATCACTTCATGAAACCAAGGTTGGCTCCTCCTTTCGAAGAACCAGGTGTCTGGATTTAATTTGACTGTTACCCCACTCATAAAAGACAAATAAATGTTTGTTGTGAGCTTGAAACAACAATCCCCCATTCCCACCCTCTTGCCAAACCCCGTGTCGTCGCATTTTATAGCGTGATCAAAAGGAAAAAGAACTACTAAAAACATTCAACAAACTTCAGGCTTGTCGCGTTGTTCTGATAGAGAGAGATCATGCTAGTAGATAGAATTATAATAATCAACGTCCCAGATTTCAAAATACTCGGTTATAGAGACGGACAATTGAAATGTTGATGGCACTACTTACTTGCAATAATCTCACGATATTTTGCAAACAAAAAAGAATAAAGATTGTTAGAATCCATGCTGTGGGACCACATAAATCTTTGTGACTGTCGCAGGCCGGGCCAGAAAAAATTGTTTTTAAACCATTCCAAAGGATCCTTCACACCACCTACATTAAAACCTTCCAAAGTTGGTACCATAGATCCTCATTCCCCAATCCACCGTCAACCGTTCACCCAAAAGAATCCTTCTGTACTCTATATCTTCCTCCCTTTCTGTTTTTATTTATAATCCATCACCATTAATCTTCTTCTTCAATAATCCAGTCTTGAAAATGAGCTGGTGGTGGGCAGGTGCTTCTAGAGCTGCCAAGGTAAATTAACAACCACCCACCCCCCAATTAATTTCCAGGTCTTCAGTTTATTTCCAACTTTCTAACTATGTTATGACTTAATATTATATCCTTTGGCAAATGTTTTGCAGAATCAATCTGAAAATGGCGTCGCATCTCGAGGACACCAGAGCGTGGCCCTGGTGGTAGGCGTAACTGGCATTGTTGGCAACAGCTTGGCTGAAATCCTTCCAGTCTCTGACACACCTGGCGGTCCATGGAAAGTCTACGGAGTGGCCCGGCGCCCACGGCCAAACTGGAACTTAGACCACCCAGTTGAATACATCCAATGTGACATCTCTAACACGGCCGACACTCGAGCAAAACTATCCCAGCTAGCTGATGTTACACACATTTTCTATGTCACGTGGGCCCTACGATTCACGGAGGCCGAGAACATCGAAGCTAATAACATCATGCTCCGCAATGTCCTCCAGGCTGTGGTCCCCAACGCCCCCAATCTCAAACACGTATGCCTACAAACTGGTCTAAAACACTATGTCGGTCCATTCGAGTTGGTTGGTAAGATCGAACCGCATGACACTCCTTACACGGAGGATTTGCCCAGATTAAGTGCACCCAATTTTTACTACGATTTGGAAGATATTTTGGCCGAGGAAGTGGCAAAGAAAGAGGGAGTGACTTGGTCTGTGCACAGGCCGCATACAATTTTCGGGTTTTCTCCATATAGTTTGATGAACATAATTGGCACTGTGTGTGTTTACGCTGCTATATGTAAACATGAAGGCATGCCTTTACTATTCCCTGGGACTGAATCTGTTTGGAATGCTTATTCCATCGCGTCTGATGCAGATCTGATTGCAGAGCAGGAAATTTGGGCAGCTGTGGATCCTAATGCACAAAATGAAGCGTTTAATATCCAAAATGGAGATGTTTTTAAGTGGAAGCATTTGTGGAAGGCTTTGGCTGAACAGTTTGGGATAGAGAAATATGGGTTGCCTGAGAGTGGGAAAAAAGTGAGCTTGACAGAGTTGATGAAGGATAAAGGAGCCGTGTGGGAGAAAATGGTAAAGGATAATCAGCTGTTGCCTAACAAGTTGGAGGAGGTAGGAGCGTGGTGGTTTGCAGATTTTGTGCTGGGTGTAGAATCCGTTATTTCGAGTATGAATAAGAGTAAGGAGCATGGTTTTTTAGGTTTTAGGAACTCCAAGAATTCCTTGATTTCGTGGGTGGAAAAGTTGAAAGCTCATAAGATTGTGCCTTGAGTTTGGTGGATTTAGGATTGATGGTGTTTTTGCTGCTGTAATAGTTGTTTTCTGAAATAATTTGGAAGATGGGCCAAATTTCTTATTGTGGACGATTTCTATTAAAACATATCTGCATTCAAATGCATTTGTTGCAGGTCTATTTCACCTTTTATTGTTCTTGTCCAAATTTTAATAAAAAAATTTCTCTCTCTGGTTTTTTTTTTTTTTTGGGGCTACTATTAATATCAATCGACAGCTTGTGTTGTTTACCTCCCCTTCGGGTCAGGGCCCAGAGCCCACAAGATAGGTAAATTAAACTTGTCAAATTGTAATTAGAAGTGAGCACTGTTTAGTTTAAATCGAAAAACGAATAGAAATAAAGATTTTTTGGTTCGGTTTTCAATTTTTCTTTTCAAAACGGAACCAAATGTAATTCGATATACATATATATTTGTGTGCGTATTCTAATATATATATATATACACACACACACATTGGTGTGTGTCTAGAAATCTATGTATAATGTAATATTAAAAAATCATAAAACTGCCACCCCATTAGTTCAACTCTTTGTTTGTTTATTTTAGTTGATTGCTAAATGAATTCTATGTTAATTATGATTTATGTGTTATATTATTTGATTTATAAATTTATCCTAAGGATATGTCTACCATGTCTCTCTTTTTTTAGAGATAAAATACTATTTAATGAGCATTTCAATTCAAAAGTTTAAACTATTAGATAAAGTTTTATTAATAGTTTTATATTACTCCCTAACACTTTTTTTTTTCAGTTGAATTTTTTTATATTTGAAACTTACAATGATCTACCACTACCTTGTGCATAATTGTTTAATTAGAAGAAAAAATAAGGTTGGTTAAATTTGAACTTTTGATCATTTTTTAATAACCCGAACAAAAAAAAAAGGCTTGGTATAAATAGGAGCGATAACTCGCTCCTATTTTTCAGATTTTCCCTTCTTTCTCCTCTCCCTCTCTCACGTTTTTCACTCTAAAAAACCCCTCCATTTTCACCTCAATTCCTAAGCTAACTCATTGTTAAATTAGCTTAAGGGAACCATACGCTAGAAGATTTAAATAGAGTCTAGCTAGCAAGAAATTAGGATTTGAGGAGCTTAGTGTAAAGGTAAGAATCTTGATCCATTGATCTTTGAATTGTAAGGTTTATGTGTAGTTAATGATGATATTGATATGTAATTGCCTTGGGTTGTTAATTGTTTGAGGAATTGATTAGATTAAGGTTACGGTTTTGAGACCCATTTGGGGGAAAATTTGATTGAGTGATCCTAGGTGTTTAATTAATGTTTGATTGTTTTTGACAAGTGAATTAAGGAGTTAATTTGAAGAAAAATTGAATGAATTTGAGAAATTGAGAGGTTGAAGATGATAAATAGTGATAAATCAAAAAATTAAGGAAAACGAGGAATTAAGGTATATACATACAATTCAAGATTAATGTAATGAGTAACCGGTGAATTAAAATGTCATAGATCATTTGAATTGGAAATTCATGATTAAATTAAGAAATGGTGATGATCGGATTTAATGATCTATGGATTATAATCAATTGAAGAATTATAGGATTTAGTTAGATCATCGGATCGAGTCTTCCCAATCAACTCCATTTTCTTCGATAATCTTATATGCTTGCTTTTATCATTTTGAATTATCATTTGAGATACGATATTGATGGATGTCCCATCATTTGTGATGCTAGATTATTCGAAGCGAGCGACTCCATCACAATCTTGATTTCGCTTGGTTCTTCAATTATGAGTGGATATTATATTGTGTTCTATGTTTTAAAGTTCTTGAATGACATCCATCATGCATCATTGTTCATGAATGGTTTATAAGCATTCTAATAGAACTTAGATGGAAACAAACATTCTAAATATTTGAATTGTTTTTCGTATCAAAATGACTTGATATGAATGAAAAAGAAATTTCAATGTGCTCGTTAAAACCGATATGTGATTTCGAATTTGAATGATTATGTTATGTTCGTTATTTTAAGTATATATGTATTTTATAAAAATACATGCATGGTATTTGAAATATCGATTTGAAAATGTATAAGTGTATTTGGTTTTCAAAAATATTTTCAAGACCCTAAAAACATAGCTATCGAGGGGGTAGCCTTTGAGCTCAATAATATGAGGCTCCATCTAGCAGGAAAGATGTGATGCTAGACCGTATGTCGACCAACATATGAAAACCTAATCATAGGGGGCGTGACCTTTGGGTGTTCGCATCCAATGATACGTTTTTACCCCGTGAATGTATAAAAACCTATATATATATATATATATATATATATCCGTGTGTGTGCGTGCGTGCATGTGCATGTGTGTGTTTTTCATATGAATACGATATATGTATGATATATGTTTCGATGAATTAATACAAAATGGTTTTAAATCATTTGATTTATAATACGAAGTATGTTTTCGATGTGCATATGGCTGAAAAAACAGCATTGCATTTTGATATGAATTTAAGAACGTCGTATGTGTTTCGTTTTTCCTCCTTAGTATATTATATAATGTCTACTCATTGAGTTGTGTTTTGCTCACCCCTCATTATTTCAGTCTTACAGGATAATGAGGGATCGATTATTGCTCCCTCTAGGCTATTTGATTTAAAGTCGGCACCTTGACCAGTGCGACTTATTTTCTTGTAATTTCTTTAGAACCTATGTTTATCCTAAATTACAATCTTAGATGCTCGTAGCTTATAGCTATAGGTAGAGTATTAGAATTTAATTAAGAATATTGATCTTAGCTATTGAAGTGAGAATAGTATGGAATTTATGAGATGTATTAATGTTGAAGAAATAATTTTTTTAAGTTATGATTATATTGATATTTAATGATAATTTGAATGATATTGAATTAAGGACCATGGTACAAGTCCGATCATGATTTGAGGTTCTTAGATTAGTATATGAGGCTTTCTTAGGTCGAGGTAGGCCTCACGGTCCCTTTGATCTTTGTGCCACTCATGGCCCATTCCCGGGGTCGTGACAAGTGTTGGTCATAAAGATTTTGATACCATATCAAATGATCATTTCAATCCAAAAGTTTAAACTATTAGGTGAGGTTTCAAGAATTATTTTATATTATTCTCCGATAAAAATTGCTTCAAACAAGTTCCTAAGACATAATTTTTTTTCCATCTCTCGTCTCCGTTCTTACAATCAAACCTTATTTTATCGCTTTTGTGTTTGTCACTTATATTCTAAGACTTTTACCAAATGCAATCTAAGGGAATTAACCCATATTAGTTTTATATGTGATTTAATGTAATTTTTTTTTATTTAGTGGTAAGATCTTTGAATCAATTTGTGCATCAATCGAGATCAAGTTTGTCCGTGATAAAATTTAATGTAACTAATCAACATCTAATTAAAAGAAGGGAATAAATTTGCCTAGTTTGGACAAGTCAATGTGTGTGTGTGTGTGTCTATATATATGCTCGCTTGATTTTTGTACTATGAAATGGGAAAAATTGAAAACCCAACAAACAAAAAAATATTTAACTATCATTGTACTATTTGATTATGTTTGACCGTTTCAAATCATTTGGTTCAATATCTAAGAAAATTGGAAGATCGACCTTTGAACAAAGAAAATGGAATTTCACATTCTTAGAGCTTTAGAATATAAAAAAGCCCCTTCTTGAAATTTGAAGTGGACATTTTGAACTTTTTAGATTGGATTGAAACACACAAATTCATCTCGTTTTAGGTTGATTAGTTGCAAAGACAAGACAAAACTTTGGATCATGTGACAATTTGGAATATTGATCAGTATTTGAATTGTATTTGGAGATATACATATTGGATTAATATTATTCAATAGCATATAGAAATAAGACATCCGGACCTACGACTTTTATGAAGAGCCCAAGTTTAAATTATGCCGCCTTCTAATCCTAAATTAATTTGAAAGTTATAGCAAATTTAGTAACAAGTCATAGTTAATTTCAAAAACAAACATAAATAAAACTTTGTTAGTTGTCATATTTTATCTCTTTACATGTATAAATAACCTTTAGGGTCGCACAATAGGGAAGGATGCTTTTCTTTAATATATTTCAAGGTTTTGTGCTTCAAACAATGTCTAGCCAATTTATAAATTACGTTTAAAAGATCTTTGCTTTACAAAAGACTATGAAACATAAGTATGGTCTTTAAACTATTCTTGATGATTTGAGCATCTATTTTTTCTATGAGCTTAACTAATTGATTTTTTAATCTAATTCATTATGATTGCATAGATGGTTGTCTAAAATGACCTCGTTAGTTGATTGTCTGTTGTAATTGATAGCTAACTATTTTTTTTTATTATTTGTAATTGTTATGAAAAATTAGTACAAGTAGCAAATGATGTTTGATTACCTATGGAAAACAAAAGGATGTCCCGAATTATTGTTTAGTTTTAGCTATTTTTTAACTTGTAATGTTATTGTTGATTGGATTAGGATTGTTTAATACCAAAATCAATTGATAATAAGAATTTAATTCATAAGGGATCCTTTGAATTAATGAATACTTTGAAATATTCGGATTTATTTTAAGATATAAGTAAATCTAGGTTAAGTATTCAATGAGATGATAGTAATTTAAGTGTTTATGATCAATCCGCAAATTAAATGTGTGATTTCTCCTTGAACCGAAGTTTTTTATTTATTTTATTCTTGCTTTCTTTTTAATTCGGCTAAGCAAACAAAACTTTCATTTTTCCAAAGATAACATAATCGTTCTACCGAGTCTCTAGGGTTCGATTTAAACTCGCCAATGCTATAGATATCGATGAAGATAGTAAGTAAATTTATGTATCAAACATAAATAAATTAAATTTGATGTATGCGAGATGCATCAGTCATTGAAAAAAAGGACTTATTTGATTAACTTATTTAAAAAAACGAAAGTTTGGTTGATATCTATGATAAGTTTAAATATAGATTATTTAATTAATAGGTTTGCTCATGATACACTATTAGTTTATTTACCTTTTATGACGATTTAATGACATTAGCTAACCCTATGGCATCGGTTTTTGTCAATATGTATTCTTATGCCTTTAAATTGGGCAATTGGATCATTCTAGTTTGACATGTTAGAAAATAGAGGTTTCTTTGCCAATCATGAACCCAATTTCATTAATGTTGGCTTGTAAGAATATGAATGGACACTTGTCAAGTTTCCATTGGTTCTACTTTTTGGAAAAAAAACTATTGATTAAAAATTCAAAGATTAAAAATTCAAAAAATTAAACAAACATGAAATAAATTTTGGTATTTTTTATTTACATGCAGCTAGAAAAATAATTTCAATTTTTTTACTTTATTTTAAAAATAGAAAAATGGTTACATTTTATTTATTTCTTTATTTATGCTTTGATTTGTTTTTTTATTTTTTATTTATTCACGTTGCATTTTGTTTTCTTTTTAATATTTTTTATTTTATCTTCAAATTTCAAAAAAATAAAAATAAATCTTAGAACAGCAATAAATTTTATGTAAAAATTAGAAAAGTTTGAAAACATAAAATCGCAACTTTCATGAAAAATTAAATTAAAAAATCATGCTTATGAAAAAGATTACAAATTTACTATCAATTTTTTTTTTTTTGAAAATTTCTATACATTTACTATCATTAAGTGTGTTTTATATCAAAATCCATAATGTTAACTTTCATTAAACAGTAGTAGACGAAATCAAGACCTAAATGATCACTATAGTATTTGCTAATTAGTTTGAAATAATAAAAATAAGTAAAAAGCTAACAAAACAAGATTTTAATCAATTTTCTTTTTACTTCTTAAAATAAAAAAAATTGCTAGCGTGAATAAGCAATTCGAAATGAAAGTAAAAAGTAGTGAATAAATAAAAAATTAGCAATATATATATATACATATATATATATATATATATATATATATTAGTTTTCGAATTTTAATCATGTTTTTAAATTGAAACAAATAAAATTTTGACATGTGTTTCTCTATATCTTGAAAAGTTAAGATTAACAAAAACAATAAAAAATGATTATAAATGGAAAAACCTTATCTACCCAAGAGACCGAACCCTTTTGATGACCGAGATACATGCACTCCATAAAGAGAGACCTGTGATTCTTGTCTAGACTTCATCGGGGTTCCGAAACGAGTTATTAATTGAAAGATGTACCGACAGGGTTCTAAAAATACAAGTTAAATTGATTTTTTAATTCAAATTTCTACAATACCATAATCGAACTATAGACGTTCGAGTATCTTTCCTATAAGCAAAGCAATTACAAGAGAATGATATTTTAAACAGATAGCCAAATAAAAAAAGCAAGAAAACAACTTTTTTTTCCCAAGATTTCTCAGCCTAAAAATACAGATTAATCTATCGTAGCTTGTTTTTTTATGTGGCCAGGAGCTTCGCCAATGTATGCCACGATGGAGGTGCAAAGATCGCAAGGCTAGCAGTTTGCCACGTATTGTCGTAGCTCGCATCCCATTAGCTGTCCTTTTCATCTCCTAAAGACCAAAACCAATTTTGATTTAAATTTTAGGTTGCGAATCACCGAAGACATATCCAGAACAAACAACAATTCAGCTTGACTGTTAGCTCCTTTAGCGACTGAAGGTATCTTTGGAGTTCTTGGTTTCTCTATCTACCATAGTCCTTTCCTTTCTCATCCAATTCAATCAAAGGAATAAGAAAAATGAGCTGGTGGTGGTCAGGTGCTATTGGCGCAGCCAAGGTAAGGATCAAACAACCCTCTCCCTATGATACACCCACCCACTCTCTTTTTCATGAATAAAACTCATCTATTACAATTCAATCTGCAGAAAAGATTAGAAGAAGATGAAGCACCACGAGATCACCAAAGCGTGGCCCTGATATTAGGAGTTACCGGTATTGTCGGCAACAGTTTGGCGGAGATTCTTCCACTCTCCGACACACCTGGCGGTCCATGGAAAGTCTACGGCGTGGCCCGACGTTCCCGCCCCAATTGGAATGAGGATCATCCGGTGGAGTACATCCAGTGCAACATCTCCGACACTGCCGAAACCCAATCCAAGCTTTCTAAACTCACTGATGTGACCCACATCTTCTATGTTACATGGGCCAGTAAATCCACGGAGGTCGAGAACTGTGAGATTAACGGTCTCATGTTTCGTAACGTCCTCCAGGCTGTTATACCTAACGCTCCCAATCTCCGCCATGTCTGCCTCCAGACAGGGGGAAGCACTATTTGGGTCCTTTTGAACTGTTTGGCAAGATTGAAGCTCATGATCCACCTTTCACGGAAGATCTGCCCAGATTAAATTTTCCCAATTTTTATTACACCTTGGAAGATGTTATGTTCGAGGAAGTGGCAAAGAAAGAAGGAATGACTTGGTCTGTTCATCGGCCTGATGTTATCTTTGGGTTTTCGCCTTACAGCTTGATGAATATTATTGTGACTATTTCTGTTTACGCTGCAATATGCAAGCACGATGGAGCTCCGCTAATCTTTCGTGGATCAAAAGAGGCATGGAATAGTTACGCAATTGCTTCTGATGCAGATCTGATCGCAGAGCATCAAATTTGGGCGTGTGTGGATCCTAATGCACAAAATGAAGCTTTTAATATCCACAACGGAGACGTGTTCAAATGGAAGCATTTGTGGACGATTTTAGCACAAGAGTTCGGGATTGAAGAGTATGGATTTGAAGAGGGGAGAGTAGTGTAACCTTTGCGGAGAAGATGAAAGATAAGGGAACAGTGTGGGAGGAAATTGTGAAGGAGAATCGGCTACTGCCTAACAAGCTGGAGCAAGTTGGGGGATGGTGGTTTGCAGATTTGGTGTTCAGTGGACCGGGTTGTATTACGAGTTTGAATAAAAGTAAGGAACATGGATTTTTGGGATTTCGAAATTCCAAGAGATCATTCGTTTCATGGATTGACAAAATGAAAGCTTATAAGATCGTGCCTTGATATGGGTGGTTTTGGGTTTTGTTATTGTACTCTGGTTTCAGAATAAATTTGGAGGTTGTCTGAGGCATTATGTTCCATAGCATAGCAATTAGCAGGGTATGTAACTGAATGTCATTTGATTTTTTTGTATTGGTATGCATAAAGAAAATGCATTTGCAGCAGCTCGCATAATTTTATTTTCTTGTAAAACCCCACTGATTTAGTTCATTTTATCTTGCTGGCTGCTGATTGCTTAATCTGATCATAGATCATAATGCGGCGCGTACCAACCATATAAGAGAGAGTAGCCTTATGTACTTGGTTGGGGTTGCAAGCTCTAATTTGCAGGAACGCGAGCTTTTTTCGCCTGCCCATTCACTGCTACTTGACAGGCGTGATTGGCAAATTATAACATCCTACATCCTCAACGTTTCACTAAAGGTAGAGGCTTTTAAATTAACGACTTGGCATGCCAAATATAGTCACTTGAAACAAGACTTACACAATCATGATTTTAAGATTTAGCTCTGACTTAGGAATGGATTGTAAGCTTCATTTGTTTGACGGAAAATAAATTTAATTAAAAAATTAATTTCTAAGAAAGTTATTTTTTAATAAATATTTCTATTGTTTGATAATTACATGAAAAAATTATTAAAAAATATATTTCAGTATTTTTTTGATACAGAAAATTAAAATATAAAAATAGTGTGTGATTGTTACATTAATAATTTTTTAGAAAACTTCAAAAAGATATATTCATAACTTCATAATATAAGATATATTTAGAAAAATGTAATAAATTTTTATAAATACTAACTTTAAAATTTTAATTCAAAAAAATAAAATGTACTTTTTTAACCATTAAACCAATTCATCAAAATTATTTACAACAAAATCAAGTTAATATTCACATTTAGTTAAAAAAAAAAATTCTAAGTAATCCTAGTATTGTTATTTTGGTAACTCAATTGAGAATTTGTTTTTTTAGAAATAAAACCGACAATTTAGTCTAGAAATAATTTTATAAATTATTAGTTATTATTTGTAGATAATTAATCATTTGGTTTTAAAAGATTAATATTAGAATAATTTGTAACCAACTATTCACTACAATTACCAACAAAATTTTAAAACTGATTAAAATTACAAATTATTAATTTAGTTGTAAATGAATAGTGTTGAAAAAATTATGTATTTACTAATGAATTAATTAATTTTAATTTTTTTACAAAAGTTATAGTTTTGTAATAATCATTTTCAATTATTTAAGTATAGCGGTGTTTGAGATGATAATAAAACAATTATTGAAATATTTCTTATAAAAATAATTTTAAGGTGTAAGAATGGTTTTTAAGAATATTTAATGTATCTATAAATCAAAAAATCAAATATTAGTAGAAATAGAGAAACAAATAATTAAATAATAAAAAATAATTGATAAGGAATAATTAAAAATTAATTTTATATATTTTAAATAAAAAGAAGATAGAGAAAAAGATTGTTAAAATATATCGAGAGAGAGGTAAGTAACGCGAGAGTGAGACGACTCGTGAGAAGGAAAACGTTTTCCTCTTTTCAAACTCGGGAAAACATTTTTTAAAAAATACTCTATTATTTTCAATTGACTCGAAAATCGTTTTCCATTTGCTTTTTTCCTAAACACTAAACAAATACTGAAAAATAAGGAAAACAAGTTCTCGAAACTTGTTTTCTCTCAAACAAGCACAACCGTAGTAATCGTTACCAAGGCAGTGAAGGACTAGGCATTAGGATGAAGGGGTAGGGGTATTCGAAAATTTTTGAAACTTTACATTCTAGTCCTATAAGTTTGAATTTTTCTAATTATATCTTTTATGTCGAGGCTTATTACATAGGAAATGCGTATTTTGCACACTAAAAAATTATATATTATCATTACGATTGCTTCTTCATTACTTAATGTTCGAGTGTATCCTATCTTTTTATATTGGCTCTAAGGGGTTGGTTGATTTGGGATGTTGATGCAAAGATTATTCAACATTAGGCTTAAGGTTCCAGTTATGTCATTGTTTTTTTTAGAAGATGGGTTTCTCCAAATATATGTGGGTATACAACCAATCTATTAGATACCTACTCGCATATATCATACGTGGAATGAGCTATACAATATTCTTATGTCGCGGGGTGAGCTATCCAATATTTTTATGTGTTCATTGATATAAAATATAAAATTTTAAAATAATTATTTTAAAGAACCACACAAAAAAATTTGAGGAGAATTATACGAGTATTCTTACATGTTCATTTATATAAAATTTAAAAATAGTTATTTAAAAGGATAATGCAAAAAAAAAAAAAACATATCTCATATTTTGCTGTAGGATTAGCTAAATAAAAAGGCTATAAAGTTGAGTAATATAATGTTGCTAATTAGTTATTGCTTAATATAAACATGTATTTTATTAGAAATATATATAATAACCGATAATTAAAACAATGATGTGATAGTTTTTTGAATCTCGGATGATTAATTTTTACCATATATTCTTAATTTGTAATTTGTTAATGAGATAGAGAAACCACTTAAAACAACAAGACAAAAAAGCTTTGTTAAAAAAATAGAAATAAAATTACACACGATAAAAATTAAATGATAAAAAAAAGTAAATATCATAAAAAGGATCAAAATAAATTAAAAAAATTTCACTAAAAGAAATATATATATAGAAAACAATATTATAGGGATAAAAATCAAATATAATAACATTTAAATTACTAAAATAATAAAAAAGTTACAAAATAGGGACTAAAATTAAAATAAAATTCTATAAAAGCCAAAAGAGGTGCTTAAAAAAATGCTAGAAGAGAAAAGAAAATTGATTTATTATAGGGATAAAAATCAAATATAATAAAATTTTAATGATCAAAATAAAAAAATTTAAAATAAAATTTCATTATTTATTATAGGGACAAAAATCAAATATGATAAAATTTTAATAACCAAAATAAAAAAGGTTACAAAATAGGGACTAAAATAGAAATTTCCCTAAAAGTTAAAAGAGAGGCTTAAAAGATGCAGCAAGAGGGAAAAAAACTGATTTATTATACAGATAGAAATCAAGTATAATAAAATTTTAATGATCAAAATTAAAAAAGGGTTACAAATTAGGGAGTAAACTGTAAAATTTATTAAAAACTAAAATAGGGGCTTAGAAAAATGCAGCATGAGAAGGGGAGAGGAAAAAAAAACCCAAAAAACACTGTTCACGAAACAGTGAACAGTTAAAAAAGCTTATGTTTTAGAGTATTAGTAATTTTCATAATAATAATAATAATAATAAAAGTGTATAGCCCTTGTGATAAGCATAAGATTCCACCAATAAATAATAAAATAATTTAAGCTTAATCTTGATGTGCATTGACGTGCATCGAATTAGTCTATCGATGCAAAAATTGAGTTTTACCTCGTGACTAGATTCTCGAGTGGACGATTAAATTAGCGCATGTTTCGATAGTAACTTTTTTCGAGTGACGTGCCAAATTTGCGTTTTAAATGAAAGTATTATAGTGACAAACAGTGTCATTTTTCTTCCTATTAGGGATATCTTCATATTAACTTTTAACAACGATTACTATTTAAACTAATATTACTGAATAAGTAATTAATTTTTCATGATTTCACTTTTCAAGAGAAAGACAAATACAAAAGAAAAAAATTACATTCAAATTAAATAATAATAATAATAACGTTTATCGATCCTATGAAAATAATAATGATAATAATAACTTTTTTTTGAGTGATGTGCTAAATTTTAAAATACTCAATAAGTAATTAATAATATTTATTTTATAATTTCACTTTAAAAAAATATAACAAAAAAAATCTCATTCAGATTCATCAAAATAATATTCATTTATCATACGTTGTAATTTATTTTATTACTAAATTACTTACTTGATTAATTTTTTTGTCATAATTAATTAATTTCATAATTGTACTAGCTAGTACAATTACAATTCAATGAATACATTATTCATTTTGTAATAAATAAATAATCATAACCTATTAAGTAGATTTACTTGTTATATAGTAATAAATTTATCTTAATTACTTTTTGTAATTGAATTAATTGTTCAGTAATAATGATAGTCACAAACAATCGAGTATAAATTCAATATGAAAAAATATTGATAACTTGAAAAAGATATGAAGTATCATTCAAATGGTTAAAAAAAAAAACTCGATTTTAAACTGTTTCTAAGTAAAAAATATTTATACTCATTGCAGTGTAAATCTCATTTTGTTATATATATATATATATATATATATATATATATATATATATAATAGTTTTTTTACTACGCTATGTTGCGAGTTGGATAAAATATATAAAATCGTTTAGAAAAATCATTTCAGTTCGATAGTCTATTTTATAATATGAATGTATAAAAAATATGAAATCAAAGGTGAAAATAATTATTTATAATTTTTTAATCAAAAATTTTATATTTAACTATTTTATATTTATGTTTTTCATAATTTTTCCTTTAGAAAAAGGATTTATCCTTGTTAATTCATGAATTATTAACTAAAAAGATAATTAAATATTTTTTTGAAAAAAAGCTTTAGTTTTTCATAAGATTGTGTCGAAAAACATAAATAACAATTATTAAAAGCTTACATATAATTGAACAAACATATATATTTTTTTATGTTGATGGCAATATCAGTTCTTGAAAAAATGTGAATTTTATTTTTATATATTTATTTACAAAAAAATGAATAATATTAAA